GAAAAAATGAGCTAGGAAGCTGTAACTGCCACACTATTTTACATATTCCCCCAGCAAGTCAGTGCACTTGCAACATTGGTCCTGCAGCTTCTGCAAATAAAATTCTTCTGACTCCTGGTGCAACCACTCATTTGCAGCATTAGTTGCCTCCAGAACACTCCCAAATTGTTGTCCCTTTAGGTGTTTTTTGAGTTTGGGGAATAGATAACAGTCAGAAGGAGCCAGGTCGGGAGCATAGGGTGTATGGGGCTTCACTTGAAAGCCTAAGGAGGTCAGTTTTGCCGTTGTTTCACCTGCAATGTGTGACGAGGCGTTGTCATGCAACAGGATGACACCTTTGGAGAGCTTTCCTCGACGTTTTTCCCTGATGTTTTGCCTCAACTTCATCAATAAAGCACAGTAATATTTTGCATTGATGGTTGAACCCTGTTGGAGGTAGTCCATCAGCAGAACTCCCTTCTTACCCCATTTGCTTCTGCACCAACCTTTGCACTCGGAACTTCTTTGGCCTGGGGGAAACACTCTGCCTACATTCCTTAGACTGTTCCTTTGTCTCAGGATCATAACAGTAGATCCATGTCTCATCACCCATTACCAGTTTGCCTAGGAAATCTGACTCATTTCTTGCAAAATGTTCCAAAACAGCCACCGATGACTCCACACGTTTCCTCTTTTGTTCGGTTGTCAAAAGTTTGGGGATCCACTTTGCTGCCAGCTTTCTCATTTCCAAGTCATTGTGGATAATGGCACCAACTCTCTCATGTGATATTCTCAGATACTTTTGGCTGATATTCGGCGGTCCTCTGTGATCATGTCATGGATGGCTTTCACATCTGCAGGCACAGAGACAGAAACAGGCCTTCCACTGGGTTTCTTACTTTCAATACCGAAATGGCCTGTTACCACTCAGGGCAGTTTCTCATCAGCAACACATGCTCCACCTATCCAAGCTTAATCTGATCAGGACGCTGCATCTGACACTGTGTCCTCCCCATCTTCACCTTCTCCATTTGTGTCCTCCCTTGAGTCACTCATTGGAGATACTCTCCTCTCTCAAGAGGATCCTGTACTTATCTGAAACAAGTACTTAGAATGGCAAAATCACTTGGGTTAGAAGTGAAGAATCCAGCACTTCTAGTCAGAGTTGAATCTCACTGTGACACATTCATTCGTTCGTTTGTTCGTTTGTTCATTCATTCATTCATTCATTCATTCATTCATTCATCTATCTATTTATCTATCTATCTATTTATCTATTTATTTGATTTATATCCCACCCATCTGGTCTATACAACCATCCACATAAATGGGGTGGAGTGGGACTTTTTCCATTTAAATAACTTCTGTTAGGCTAGATGGAGTAACACTGTATGGAAAAAGGTGTCCAGATTACTTACATCCAGATTAGTTCTCCCACTGGGCTGAATGAGGCAATGCTGGACAGAAGCCTCCAACACTGTCCTTCTGAGCCGTTTTTGTTACCCTCCTTTCTTGGACGACAGAAATATATGTGCCTCTCTCCAATCTCTACCTCCAGGTATCCAGGGCCCAAGCCGTTTGCAATAATCTATACGAGATGTTACCAGTGCGTGTGTAACTGTCATGAGACTCCGCTCGTCCAGGTAGGGCTGTAGCTGGTACAATTTCCATAGCTGAAGGAAGGCACCCCTGGCCACCGAGTCCACATGGGCTTCCAGAGTTAGGCTGGGGTCCAGCAGCACCCCCAGGCTGTGGACCCTGTCCCTTAGGGGGAGTGTAACTGCATTCAGGGCAGGGAAATGGCCCTCCAACTTGTCCGGCGAAGCACCCACTAACAGCACTTCCATCTTGTCTGGATTGAGTTTCAATTTATTAACCCTCATCCAGTCCATTATCTGGTCCAGACATGAGTTCAGCACAGAAACCGCCTCACCTGGATTGGTGGAAAATGAGAAGTAGAGCTGAGTGTCGTCAGCATATTGCTGACTCCTCAGCCCAAACCTCCTGATGACCTCTCCCAGCAGTTTCATGTAGATGTTAAACAACATGGGGGACAGTATCGAGCCCTGAGGAACCCCATGACATAAACACCCTGGGGCAGAGCAACTGTCCCCCAGCTTCACCTTCTGGACACAGTCAGCCAGGAAGGAGTGGAACCACCATAAAGCAGTGCCCCCAACCCAGCCAGCCTATCCAGAAGGACACCATGTCAAATCCCCCTCCAAATCAGCTTCACAGACTCTCATTCAACATTATTGACCCAAAACCTTTATGCCACCAACATCATAATACATAATCTCTACTGAATTCAGGAGGAAGATCAACCTTTCTCATCTAACAGCATGTCATAATTTAATTTCAGCGGAGGCATTAAAAACAGGCAAGCAAAACGCAGAAAGTTAGACCTGATGGACACTCTCTGTATCCCTTTCCAGCACTAGGAATCTGTTTGAGAAACTACCAGATATACATGGCTGCTCATCAACTTTTGAGAAAAGTTCTGTCCCCTGTGAGCCTATATAGCAGAAGAAGAATGTAACCTGGCCCTCCACTTCCACGATGAGGCTCATTTCTTGGTAGGCCTCACCAGACACCACCAGACATTCTGCAGATTGCACTTTATAAGTGATGGTTGCTGCCATGGCCCTGAGGCTCTACTTTTGGCTCTGGACTGCAAGAGTTTTTGAAGACACAAGACTCTGGTTTGTGTACTGAAGACCTTTTATTTTCAGTTCTGAATCAGATGAGATTGTTGCTCACCTTTGCAAGGCCCACATGATAGAGAAGAAGATGTATGCAAATGTTAGTAGTCATACTGCTAACAGTAAATATAAACTTATACCAAGTCATGCCTGCTTTATCAATCCTCTTGCTAGCCCTTCCATTTCTCTACACAACATCATCAGCATTTACCCCTATGCTATAAGTCTTCCTCTAACAAGAAGACCTGTTCATCCAGACAACACCTTTAACCGTATAGAACACCAAGCATGTCCTACTGTCGATTTCCTTTCTTTGACCCACATCAATGTCCAACTCTTTTGCCATTCTAATACCTGATAGATTATCACCATTCACACTTGGATCCTATTTATAGCATGTTTGGCATCTTGCATTGCTTTGATTTTAATTCTTGGTTTTTTACCTTGCCACACAAATCTCATGATTATCTTGTTAAGTTCTTGAAAAAATAACTGTTTTAATATTATGGGAATTGTCTGAAATAAAAATAAAATTTTAGGTAGAACATTCATTTTGATGGTTGCTATTCTTCCCATCAACAAGTTATTCTGTATCTCTTTAATCAACTCCATATAATTGTTTTTAAATAATATACTACAGTGGTACCTCGACTTACGAACTTAATCCGTATTGGAATGGCGTTTGTAAGTCAAAAAGTTCATAATTTGAAGCACCATTTCCCATTGAAATACATGGGAATGGGATTAATCCGTTCCAGCATTTTTAAAAAAAACAAAAAAACAAAAAAACACCAAAATAAAAATAAACAGAGCAAGTCCCACGCTGGGACAGCAAAAAAAACAACAACCCACAAATCCAAAAACATAACATGGAAACATAACCCACCCAGTAAAAACCCACTGGCGTGTACACCTCTGCCAGCTACTATTTGGGCAAAGCAGTTGCCTCCTCCACAGCCTTCCTTAGAGGGGTAGACCTGACGGATGTCTGCAAGGCTGCTACATGGTCCACGCCTCTCACCTTTGCAGCCCACTACTGCCTGGATGTTCGGGCCAAGGAAGAAGCAGCCGTGGGAAGAGCAGTCCTGGCTTCTGTTCTATCGTGACACCCACCACCTGATAAGTCAGCTTGCTAGTCACCCATTAGTGTGCATTCACAGAGACTATGAAGAAGAAAAAGAAGTTACCTACCTGTAACTCTGGTTCTTTGAGTGGTCATATGTGAATTCACACTTCCCGCCCTTCCTCCCCACTGATCGTCACATTTGCCATGTGGCATGCTGCGCAGCGGCAGACAGTTCTATAGAACTGAGGCACTCGGTGCCGGGACAGGGTTATAGCCGGCGTGAGGGGGTCCCAGCAGAATGTGCTTAAAGCTCTAGACGGTTCCGAAGCTGCTCTGCTCAGCCACACATTAACCCATTAGTGTGAATTCACAGATGACCTCTCAAAGAACCAGAGTTACAGGTAGGTAACTTCTTTTTCTCGGAGTGCTCACACAGCCCGCTTGCTTTCCCTCAGTCCTTGGCTGCCTCTGTTGCTTTCCCTTGTGCCAGACTAGGAAATGAGATGGATAAGCAGAGTACCCCTACACATGTGGTGTGAGTAGGGGCTGGTTCCTGCTAAAAGATTGCTTAGCTATGGAATATTCCATGAGAATGCATAGATGCAAGATCCATTTGTGTGAGTGCACAGATAACTACTCAAAGTACTGTAGGTAAGCAACCTGGGTTTGTTTTGTTGTTCTGTTTTTAATATTTATATTTCATGATGCCAGGTAGAGTGAAAGCATGTTTTTTTCTTGCATTATTTTGTAAAGAATATGTGTTTGCAGAATGAAATCACACTTTTCATCCTATGCTGCATTGTACTGTGACTTTTTCAATAATCCCTTACTTCCCAAATTGCCCATTTTCAAAAGATTCAGTAGTTCATTAGTCAACCCTTTCAATGATTTAGTATCCCATTCTTCCTTGTTGTATAAGCTGAGGAAGAAAACAGATTGTAAAACTATCCCCTTGTTTACTTATTAGCATTTATTCTGAACTATGCAAGAGCTTTATTGTTTATACTTTATGTTCTTGATGAAGTTCAGCATTTGAGCCTTTTGAGTCAAGTGTGTGAGTTGTTGAGATGGCAGGAAGCAACTGGACATAAGAATAATAAATGGAATAAGCTGCCACAAGGACATACCAAAGAAATGTGTATTTTACTTATGGAACTTTGGTACAGCATACCTTCCTAGCTTAGTACAGCAATGTTGTGGCTATTGTTTTAGCATGTTTCTCTATTACAGCAACATTTCATTACTTCTTCCAGAATTCCTGGGAGGCTAAATGACAGAAGAACGCCTTTGGGGGAATTGAATTGGATATTTACAGCCATCACAGATACAATTGCATGGAACGTCCTACCTAGAGGTAAGGTTATAGCAGATGAGCCAGAGAATTATTGGCAATATCTGTAACTCAATCATAATAGAAGAGAGCAGAAGTATGGTGCCTAAGAGCTAATGAGGGGAAATAGGAAGAAGTAAGATCCCAGAAATAAAAAAAATGGGGAAAATATTTTCAAAAGGCAAAATAAAAGTTCATCAAACTTAATTCTTAGATCATATAAAGTGTCTGCAGGTTAATGTGTTTTGATCTATGTTTTTCCTTACTTGTGACAAGGAATCTCTGCTTTCTGAGAACTGTATATATTTTGGGTGTTAAGCATATAATGGTATGATTTTAGGATTTTGCATGGAGGGTGACAGAATTATTGTGTATTATTGAATCGGATGGTTCTAAATTATTGTGTTAAGAACTAAATATGTATTGGCAGACTTAGCTGTTGCTTCCTGAATTCTTGTCAGAAAACATGCTGATGTCCTGTTTCATGGTTTTTTATCACTTTCTTTCTTGTTACGGATGTCATCTGTCTTTATGAGGGTTTTTGCATGGCTTTTTTGCAGATCTTTTCCAAAAGCTGTTCAGGCAAGATCTACTGGTGGCAAGCCTCTTTCGAAACTTCTTATTGGCAGAAAGGATAATGAGATCTTACAACTGCACACCAGTGAGCAGTCCTCGTCTACCTCCAACTTATATGCATGCCATGTGGTAAGTTGATTCCAGAGGATAACCTCATGCACAGATGCCTGGCACAAATTTCAGAATCTGTTATCCCATATTGCTATCACCTCTGACTTATGGTGACGCTTTTCTGAGCTTCCTAGGTGGAAGGTGCTCAAACGTAGTTTACCATTCTTCTGGGGGCACCCAGGGACTGGGCAGCTTGCTCAAGGCTTTTATGGGATGCAGTGGGGAACTGAACTCTCAGCCCATGGCTCTGCAGTCAGATACCTAACTCACTGACCTATTCAGCCAGCTTAAAGCATTTTAAATATACCATAAAATCATCCCCTCTCTAAACACAGAGCAGTGCAATACTATGACTCTTTCCTCGGGAAAAGTTCCATTATTTTCAGTTGAGTTTACTCCCAGATAAGTGTGTATAGGTTTGCAACCTTCGTGAGGTAGGCAATTTTGCAACATATGAGAGGCAAGAGTACTTGAGAAATTGGTAGAACATATTTTGAGAAACAGATTAGGCATTTAACTTGTTTCCATTGCTGCCCTTCTGAGGTGGTGATGGAATGTACTTTGAGCCATGTGCAAAAGTCTTTGTCCTTGCTCTAGGCAACCTTTGCTCATCTTTTCTATCAGAGGAGTATCAGAGGGATAATATGAATGCCAAGTCTTGGTTCCTGGCATCTTTCACGTAAGAACTCCAGCACTGGTAGCAGCTGGCCATTAATAAAGGGAGAGATGCTTTTTAAACCATTCCAGAAATGGAGCTCATTGTATGGTCTGGCTCTGAAATGTACCTAAAATGCCCTTAAATGCAAGGCAGACTGAAACTGAGTTGTCCATGGCATTTTCTTCCTGTCATCCTGTTTCTTTTTAATGATAATGATAAATGTGCTTGTAAATGGCATAGTTATTACCAACAATTCCTTAAATTAATTTCTGATTAGTGAACCCTTGGTGAATGAAAGCTGCAGTCATGAGGAGGGGTAACTCAGCAATTCTCCTTGTGATTCTGAGACCTCTCTAATTAGACCACAGCAATACACTGCTTACCAAAGCTGTAACCTACCAAGGTTCATGGTGCATGATGTCAGAGCTCTGTAATATGCTAAAGATTTACTGAGATAATAGATGAAATAACCCAAGAGCACTTAATCTCCTTGGATTTCCATAAAGACTTTTGATAGGATCTCTCTAATTTTGTTGTTAGATGGATGACAAAATTAGCTCAGTGCAAGCCATGCGATGAAAGTGGAAGTATAGAATACAAGATGCATAGCTTAATGAAAAATTGGTTTGTGAGATAATATTATGGGTATCCTTCATCTGATGATTTGCAGACATTGAGTAATAAAGTGGATCTTAACTGAAAACAGAGTTACTTTGATGACAAAAATGGAGAGTTAAAAGATTTAAATTACATTGCAGATAAGAGGGTGTTCAATCAACTTAATATGAATGGCTGTGTTCCTCTTCTTAGCCATGGAGTGCATGTATGCCCAAAGTAATGTGATAAGTGTTTCTGCATGGAATTGAACAATATTTCCAGTATGGATAGGGTCTGTTGTCTTTTTCACCGCAGCCAAGCTAGAGACTAGACTTCAGTGCCATCCCTGGTGAGATAGTAGCAGATTCCGGAACCCAATAGCAGCTTGTGATCACTGTCTCCTAACTAAAGAGAAATATGTAGAGAATATGATACAGGCCAGGAAGAGCTTTCAGTCTGAAAGCCTGAAGGACTAGAGGAGCAAAAGCCAGAGCAACAACATAGTTTCACAGTGATGAGTAAGAATTATGGTTTGCCAGTGTGAAATATGGCTATGATAAAAAACAAAAACATCTCAAAAGTCCATTTTCCAGCACTAGGTTAATTTTGTTTCAGTCAGTTTCTGTGATTAATGTGATTGGTAGCTTTAATTATTTAGATGTCTTTCCAACCTTATTCTAAGAGCTTTGGACAGGTGGTTATGCTTTATCTAATATGCAATGTAATAAATCAAAGAACAGACAATTTTTGTTGTAAGTCAGCTGAAGCAAAGAGATTCTAACTTTATCCTGTATTCTAAACCACATAATTAGAAGCCACAGATCCTGGGTTAATAATCCTGGAGTCCATTTGTTCTTTTCTGTCCATGAACAGAAAGCCTAACTAGGATTTAATTCTTCTATGTAGCTTCCCATTATGTTTAAATCTAGAACTATGACTAAGTGTTTCCACGAGGATCAAAAGTCAGCTTCAAACAAGTTGACTTTCAAGTCCTGCCTTGTTTGAGAACCATTACCTTTCATTGAGTTCCCAGTTCAGATGTTACAAGATGTTACATTTAAGCAGTGAATCTTAGTTGATTTTCATGCTTGTCTGAAGAGAAGAACAAGTAGGCATTGTGTGTGAAGCAGACCATTATTTTAACTCTCTGGACAGATGTTAGATCTGAAGTTGTCTACTGGGGAAATGCGGAGGGGGGCGGCAGGAAAAAAATTCCTGTCTGCCATCTCCTTTTTGATTCCCACTGCAGGGTAACCTAAAGCATGGTTTTAATCCCCTGCTAAATAACAAGTGCAACCAAAAGAAAACCATGTTTGTTGAGTATTGAGAAGTGAAATAATGCTCTCTGTTCTACCATGTAAATTGATAATTTTCTCAGGCTTTGTATCTGCTTTTCTTGTGAATTTGATGCCTCTTTTTTCTGTAACTTTTGCTTTCATATATAAAATTCTTTAAACATAGGGATGTGCTTTGTGGGGAGGGCTTACTGCTGCACGTCATCTTGACTGCAGTCTTTTCTTATTCCATCCTCTAGATGAAGATAAGGAATTTACGGCCTCAGAGTTGTATCTATTCTGTTATGACATGTTCTTACCTCTCCTGTGATGCCACTATATGGCAACTCAATTCCATATGAGGCATGAGATAGGATACATTTTTGGTAGGCCAGCTGCTGTTTTCTGTACATCCCATGCATTACCCTATGCCTTCTCTAGATGATTATTTTCTTTTCTTTTTACAATTGCAATGCTTTGTAAGTTTCAAGGCTCCCTTTATAAGATTCGTAGGTTTGTAGAGCATACACTAGACATAGACCTCTGTGCAAAATCCTTCCTTCTGTTTGTGTCTGTCAACATGTTTTCTAGGTTGAATAGCATACTTTTGTTCTGATTGCCTGGTTTGTTATGAATATACATTTTCACACTATTACAAGAAAGTGCATTTAGGAGCCATGTAAGTTATATGTTCCACAGGGGTCGACTATTTCCCCAATGCTGTTTAACATCTATATGAGGCCGCTGGGTGGGGTCATCAGGGGATGTGGAGCATCGTGTCATCAATATGCTGATGACATCCAGCTCTACATCTCCTTTTCACCAACTGCAGGTGATGCCGTCCTGTCCCTCCAGAGCTGCCTGGAGGCCGTACCGAAATGGAGACAGGAGAATGGGCTAAGGCTGAACCCGGACAAGACGGAAGTTCTGAGGGTGGGTGGCTCTGTGGATGGTGGTTTGGGAAACTCCCTCATGTTTGAGGGGGTGGCCCTGGCTGCGAAGAGTGGGGTCCGCAGCCTGGGAATACACCTGGGCCCAATGCTCACCATGGAATGCAGGTGGCGTCGGTAGTCCACTCCACCTTTTTCCACCTTTGGCGGATTGCCC